AAAAGAGCCATTTGTGTTGGGAACACCTTTCAGTCGCTCCCTTGCCAAGTCAATGGGATGCTGGTTGCCTTTCCCTGGGGCTGCGGGGGTCTCTGTGGGGTGGGAGCAACGAAGAGATCCAAGTAGGGATGGGCCCACCTGCAACTGGGCTGTACCTGTAAACATGAAGGGGACATGCAGGATGTCTGCCGCAGCTGGGAGGGTTGGGGGGCGAGAGGACCCCCGTGGTGCAAGCCCCTTGGTGGCCTGGCTCGTAGCCCCTCTGTGGCAGCGTGGGGCAGGTGGTGCTGCTCAACGGCTGAGAAAAATCAAGTTGTTTTCTGAAGGGAGGAGAGACACCCACACCGCAGTGATTGGAAATACATCTGTGACCACTTGGAAAGTTACTTTTGCTACATGAAAGGCTGGGATGCGAGGACAGGGCCTTCTCCAGACTGTATCACCTCTTGGCTTCCCTGCTAGTACAGCTCATTTATTTGGTTTGGCACCAACTAGCCAAGCTGTGTAGCTGCCAGGTTCACCATGTTATAAGGAGCTGCTAATGTCAGAAAGAGCTTTTGGCTGCAGGAAAGCCCTGCAGATGTTGTCCAGGTGGTTCTGCTCTCCATGAGCGTTTAGGAATAGTCAAGCCATGTAACAATTTTATGATGATTATTTTTCTTTCAAAACATGACTGGGATTCCTATGAGGCGCTGGAGCAGGAGCAAAGGGCGGCGTGCGGTGCGAAGGCTGGGCGAGGTGTGCGGCATGTGCTGGCAGTGCGGGACGGAGAGATGCCAGAGGAGCGGGACCCAGCGAAGCGTGGAGGGGACCGGTGCTCCAGCCCAGCTTGGAAATAGCTGGCAGGCTCCTCTGTGCAGCATTTTGCACCACGCTGCTTGTCGGGCAGGGCAGCCGGTGAGGCCGAGCAGAGGGAGGGACGTTGCCTGCCTACGTTTAAATTCTTGCGGCTCCCACGTTTCAGGATTTTGACTCAGGATCCAGCTGAGGCAAAGAGAGACTCGTGTCACCTCGCTGGAGGGGTGGCTGCCTTCAGCAAGCCCATGACAAAGATGCCCTGGTGAGCCGGCTGAGCGTGGCTCCTCCCTGCCCTGCGTGCTCCCAACCGCGGCAGTGAATCACCACCTGCAGGTGCCTCTTCCTCAAGGACATCTCCCAGATGAATCACGGCAAACACATCCAGACCCAGTGCGTGCTCCCCTCCAGATGCCCTGCTCTGTGCTGCTGAATGGGAAGCTCGGGCCTCGTGCAAAATGGGCTTACGCCCCTCACCCGGGCTAGGGGGACGTTCGGATGGCCGGGGTACAACCAGGTCCTTCCCTCTCTCCCGGTTCCTTGGCTGTACGTAGACTGGAGGACACGTGGACTCTTCCAGCACGGTGCCCAAGCCAGGGGCAGGAGGAAGGGGGTCTTCCTCTGCCCACAAACCTGCTCAACCCACCAGGGGACCACCGAGCCCTCCTGAGGCCCGCTAGCAGGATTAGAGGCTGCTCTTTTCCTTGCAAAAGCTTCTGGTGCTGCATCCCCTCCCAACCTCTCTGCCATAGCCTTGCCCTCGCCACCTTAGTTCCTCTTCCTAGCCTGTCCCCGCTCTCTTTCTCTGGACCTACACACTTTTTCTCTGCATGTAAGCTAAGTGTTAACTTCTAAACATTGTGAAGAATCCCAGATCTGCCAAAAGAAGATCCAGAAAGAGATTCTAACTTTTGCTCAGGCATCTCTTACCTTTAACTCACCTTTATTCATGTGGGAATTACTACTGAAAGCAAAGGAGATGTAGGGACAGCTCAAAAAGAGCAGGGTTTGCAGAGGGGTCTTCCCTGTTTTCCTTGTGAACCCCAGAGCCACTTACATTGCTAGTTCACTTGCCATCTAATAGAGAAAGAAACCTCAGTCAAGTTGCCTTAATGTTTATTTTATTTAAAGAATCAGAAACACAGTCATTGTAGTTCATTTGTACTCATATCCGCCAACATTTCCTAAATCACGTTAACATTCATGTATAACAAAAACATTTTCTGAGCTGTGCAAAGTTCAAAGGAATTGTTCAATTACTTGAACCCATTTCTAGAAGAGCAAACCTGGCATTTTACAAACTGAGGCCACCAGAAGGAGTCTTTTCTTTTTTTCCCCCCATTGTAGGAGATGCAGATGCCCCCTCCTCCCCCTTTCCCTGGTATGACAGGTAAAAATTAGACCACAGGACGAGTCGAACCTCTCTCAGTCCAGGACTTTCCAAATGGCACTGGGTCACGGTTTCGTATCACTGAGCTGTCTGAAGTTCTGCACTTGTGCTCCTGGCATGGAAGTGATTTGTCCAAGAAGATTACTCAGTAACCCAAACTGTGATGATAAGCAATAAACAGGGGCCAGAAACAGCTGTTATCAAAATAGAAACACATCCCCCGCCCCAAATATTTTTCCTTGCGGGAGGTATGACTGGCAGGGTTGTCGTCCATTAAAAAAAATCCATCATCCTCCCTGCAAAATATGTTTTAAACCACTGATTTCATGACACGACGTCTGCGTGTTTTCCTTGATCTTCTCACACACCAACTTTTGTCCTGTTAGAACATGTTAGAGCATGAAAAGGTGGAAGTCTGGAACCATTTTACATCTGGCTAAACACAATAGGTAGCAAGCAAGCCATCATCCTGTTTCATTTTTCTGAGTGTAGTAAATACACCCACGGAACAGAATTTTAAGAGAGCTTTAACCACTCTAAGTTGTCAGAAAAAATCTCCTCATCTCTGACAGATCTAACCCAGAATTTTTATTGGCATCGATAACATGCATCTTGGCGTTGCTGACTCGCTAACTGTGCAGTTTACTGTTGGAGGTGCAGTGATACCAGTTCTGATCTGGACCAAATAAGTGGACAGATATGGCTCTAGTCTCAAGCAAGTCTTTCCAGAAGACGTTTCTTCAGTCTCTTATTGGTTATAAAAAGGCAATTTCCTCTCAACAGTAACTAAAGTTTTAGTGGCTGACTCATTACAATCTGGACTATGAACAAATGCGGCAACATTAAGTATAAAAAGAAACACCCTGAAAATGATGCCTCCCTGTTTGAAGGTGCTATACTTGGCCATGGACTGTGTTTCTGGAATCGATTTGTTACGTGTGACAGCAAGAAGAAACTTATTTTACAGAGAACAAAGTCACGGAGCTGAACTTAAACAGGACCGCTCACTTACATGGGGTTTGATATGTACTAGTATACATGGCTTGAATGAAAACAAAACTTACACCTTCGCATACGAAATACTGGTAACGCAGTAATGATGTTCACCCACTGGGCCTCTTCCTTTTAATAAGATCATCTCCAGGTTACAGTGCCTCCGACACGCTTTTAAACGACCACCACATGTGGGCTTTGGCAAACAGCCAGCCGCTGGCAAAGGCAAGGTATGGATACAGCTACGAAAAGCCTTTCATCACGTTTCCTTCCTCAAGAGCCGATGTCTTTTTAAATACTCTCGCAATCGCATTACGGAATTTTTTCTCATTCTGCTTCACATGAATAACGGGCTAAACTCGCTTTACATTTATTGCACCTTTAAGTCCCTGGTAGATGGAAGCTTATATTGCCTGATACAGTTTGTATTGTAGCTTGACCACATTAAGAAATCGAACAGTCTCCAGAACTGTACATTTCTACAGTAAGAAATCACATTTCGATAACGCTAGTTACAGCCATCGCAGATCAGCTCTCGTCTCCGTGATGCAACGACAGAGGAAAACTCCACGGTCCCTGTGTGTGCTAGAACCTGCAGTGTTCTTCTTATTGCCATGAAAAAGTCAAATAAAATTACTCCTCTGGGAATTACTTCCAATTCTGGAGTAATTACCACTCTCCAGACAGAACGCTGTGCTTCAGTGTGGGTCTTCAGCCGCTCTAAATACGCAGGGGAGAGCGAGCGCATGCATGTCGCACAGGCACGCTCCCCCAGGGATATTTGTCGGTGACCAAGCGGCTTTTTCTCTTTTCCTCTATGAAGCATGAACAAGCAATCTGATCTCGATTTTCAGGTACGTTTCTAATTTCATATGTTGAATGCAAATCTTGTTGCAGCCTCTCTGTTTAACCAAACCAAATCTTTAACAATTAAAAAAAATAGCACCAGATGTATGAAAAAGAGGAAATGTCTGATCTAGTAGGAATATATATAAAGTAGAGCAATTCTTACAGTAAAAAGGTATGTCATACAAAAAAGCAATGGAAAGTGATACTGAAGGACAAAAATCCATGCTGCATATAATAAGGGCAGAAGACAGGCAAAAGGGATTCTGCTCAAATAACCACCGTTTAATGGTGGAGTCGTCCTTCCTCCAGGACCTCCCCGGCGGCAGCGCCAGGACACCGGGTGGTGTGGGACTCTGAGCACTAACACACTCACTGACAAACTTGCGCAGCATATCTTTGAGGTATATAGAAAGCATGACATTAACATTTTGGACTCCTCATTCTTTCTTGCACGATGATGCACCTATCTTTAGCTTGGGTTTTCTCCACCCTCCCCTCCCTCTTTTTCCCTTGGGAAAAATGAAATCCCAGTTTAAGAGCTTCCTAGCACACCTCCTTGAACTCTCAAATCCATCTTGCATAGGCCAGTAATAAGAACACTGCAGCTCTGACAAATAAGTTACAGCAATATAACAACTTTCCTCTTAATTTTTTTTTAAAGATATCTTCTCTATAATTTACACAAAGGGTTAACAGCCGGCATTTAGGTTACGTACAGTCCAGATGGGCGTCCTTTCAGTCTGTGATTCCAGGTGGAAGGCACTACTTCGACATACCACTGTATGCACCGCACGCAATCTCAGGAGCACAGCGGGGCACTGCGTCTCCAGAGCTGTAGACTGAAGGGCCTGGGGGCGAGTCTTTGGAAATAAAAATGGCAGTGGTCATCAGTCCAGTTTCCCTTTGCTGTCTCTTCTTGTGCTATGCAGTTTCCCCTGAAAACTCCTCCAGTTGAGAGAGTGGCGAGCCGTCCTCAGAAGCTCTCGACAAAGCTGCCGGGGAAGAGGCCCGTCCTGCCATTTCTCTGCAATGTCCCTTTGTACCAGCCGTCCTCCCGTTTCTTGTGCACAAACACAATATCACCTTCCTTCAGTTCGATCTCAGCCTCGCTCTGCGGCGGGTACGGGACCACAACGCGGTACCTTTGGAGACAAAAATGCGAAGACCTGGTCAGCCAGCGGTTGAGCCTGCACCTGATGGGAGCAGCCAGGCACCAGAACCAGAAATCTTGGGGACAAATACTTTTGGAAACATCAATAAGTTACATTTCGCACACCAGTTGTATCTGATGCAGCTACATTTTCTGCTAAAGCTCAGTATGACGGGGAGATTTCTAGCCAGCTTGACTGGAGACTTGATCAGGACATACTCCAGAGCCAGACCATGAAAGCAGGAAGGTATTGTCAAATGGCTGGACTATTTGCAGTGGTCCTGCACCAGGGACTCAGACACTTTCTTCCAGCGTTGTGCTTGCCTCTGCTGTAACACATCTCAGTCAGCACTGCATCTGCTCCATCCAAAAATCATAGAATCATAGAATGGTTTGGGTTGGAAGGGACCTTTAAAGGTCATCTAGTCCAACCCCCCTGCAATGAGCAAGGGACATCTTCAACTCGATCATGTTGCTCAGAGCCCTGTCCAACCTGACCTTGAATGTTTCCAGGGATGGGGCATCTACCACCTCTCTGGGCAACCAGTTCCAGTGTTTCACCACCATCATCGTCAAAAATTTCTTCCTTATATCTAGTCTGAATCTACCAGACCCTACTAAAAAGTCTGTCCCCATCTTTCTTATAGGGCCCCTTTAAGTACTGAAAGGCTGCAATAAAGTCTTCCTGGAGCCTTCTCTTCTCCAGGCTGAACAACCCCAGCTCTCTCAGCCTTTCCTCATAGCAGAGGCGCTCCATCTCTCTGATCATTTTTGTGGCCCTCCTCTGGACCCGCTCCAACAGGTCCGTGTGCTGAGGATCCCAGAGCTGGATGCAGTACTCCAGATGGGATCTCACCAGAGCAGAGGGGCAGAATCACCTCCCTCGACCTGCTGGCCACACTGCTTTTGATGCAGCCCAGGGTATGGTTGGCCTTCTGGGCTGCAAGCACACATTGCCGGGTCAGGTCCAACTTTTCATCCACCAGTACCCCCAAGTCCTTCTCTGTAGGGCTGCTCTCTATCCCTTCATCCCCCAACCTGTATTGATACCGGGGATTGCCCTGACCCAGGTGCAGGATCCTGCACTTGGCCTTGTTGAACCTCATGAGGTTCACACAGGCCCACTTCTTGAGCTTGTCCGGGTCCCTCTGGATGGCATCCCATCCCTCAGGCCTGTCAACCTCACCACTCAGCTTGGTGTTGTCCGCAAACTTGCTGAGGGTGCACTCGATCCCACTGTCTGTGTCATTGATAAAGATATTAAACAGTACTGGTCCCAGTATGGAGCCCTGAGGGACACCACTCATCACCGATCTCCATCCAGACATTGAGCCTTTGACCACTACTCTCTGGATGTGACCATCCAACCAATTCCTTATCCACCAAACAGTCCACCATCCAATCCATCTCCAATTTAGAGAGACCAATGTTGTGGGGGACTGTGTCAAAGGCCTTGCAGATAGATGACATCCATAGCTCTTCCCTTGTCCACTGGTGATGAAAAATGGGGTTTGCAGTGCTCCCACCAACTGCCTGTGATATTGGCAGAGGTTAGCTAAAGCAGTTCACATTTTTATTCTTATTATGTTTCTTGAGAATGTACTTTGGGTCCCTCAAACTTGGAAGGGAAGCTAAAATTGAGACATATCAAATGACTTTCAAAGCACTCTCCAAACCAACAGGGAGCCCCTGTCCTGAACTATTCACAGGGCTCTCTGGGAACTTAGTTTTCAAGTGTCACTTCATTTCAATGAAGCAATGACGGGTCTGATCCTGATACAGCTATTCTGCACTCAGGCTTATCAGCAGGCGTCCTCCTGAGAGCACAGACCGGGCCTTTTTATATCAATGCAGTTCTGTGCATAGTAGGGAATATATTTCTGCTACACTGTTTTTTTTCTTCAGCACAGGTACTTTTGCAGTCATCTGGCATTTGGTTAACAGTCAATAACTGTCTTGCTAAACGCAAAGTAATGAATACAGTAAGATAGTTAAAAGATGCCAATTGATTACCTGAAGCCCATCTCCTGAGGATTAATATTTCCACAACCACTGCATGGCCACTGATGCCTCAGTCATGTTTGTTACAAGGCAAGTATGTATTTAAAATAATATCCTATCCTAGACGACTAACTTCAATGGGCCCTGGAGGCTCTGGACCACTCCCTGAGGCCATTCCCAGTGAGATGGTACCAAAGCAAGGGGCTCTCCAGTGGCAGTCGCTAATTTTCGTTGCGGATGTTGCTCAGGACAGTGACAATACAGGCTTTGGCTCTATGGACATCTTCGCGGCCAAACATCCCGTTACTTGGAAAAACATTTAACTCCATTTGGAGTGGAGATTCTGCTCTAAAACCTGACTATGGCCTTTTTATCTTGACACAGCAACACAGTCATGTAGAAAATATATGTGTTCAAGTCCCATCAAGACTCTGCCGGTCTTCTCTGTCTCTTGGTCAACAAATCTAGTTGTCACTTCCTTCCTCTGTGGAAAAGCAAATAACAGAGGTTGAAACGTGTGCTGCTGGCTGGCTGCAGGAATATGGTCTATCACACTATCATCTGTCGATCCGCTACACTTATATTATGAAGCTTTGCCAATTACAGCCATTATGCAAATGAATGCACACATTATTTCAAACACTCTGCTGCAGTGTTGATTAATTAAATTATCAGAGTGGAACAATTGTAGCTAAGATGATGCCAAGTTTCAGATCTCGCAACTCTATGCACAATCACAGTGCGTTGGAGCTCTGCACCAGGACCTCAAGAGGCTTTGAGAAAGAAGAGTTGGACCTCAACAGCAGCCAGGTGGTGCAGAGGTATTCGCAGGCCCTTTTGGCAGATCAGGAAACAGAAACAAAGAAAAAGGTGGTGTCCTGGGCAGGGTGGCCCCAAAGACCCATCTGGGACTGCCAACACCTCATGTCATACCTTAAGCACGGAGCCATCCTTTTAAAGCCAGATTACATCCTAGGAGTGAGGAGCTGCTGGTCCCTAAATGGTTCACATGAGGAGGGAGGTTACACTCAACAGGAATGTGCCCATCGTCATAAAAGGGGTTCTGCACAGCATCTCCGTAGAGATTTAGGAAAATAAATCTCAGTCGCTGCATTACCAAATGAAATACTTTTTCCCATTTAAGGAAACCCCAAACGCTACGGTTTAAATTGAATTAACTACGGTACATTATAGGATAGCACTAAAGTGTTTTTGATAGAATAACAAAATCTTAGATACGAAAGAGCTTGCAAATCGGTTAAGAAATCCTCCGTGAGAGATGGAAAAAGATGCTTTTTCTCTTGAGAGGCTTTTGAAGCGGGGCCTGGGAGAGGCAGCCTGGTGAGGGCCAGCAGGTCGCTGCCGTGCTGCCCGTCCAGACCTCCAGGTGGCATCTCAGCCTAGTTTATCCTCTGGAACTGAATTGCACATACATATATTAGCCATATTTTTTTGGCAGAAAAGAGCTCTTCTTTTCCCTCCCAGACATCCTCCCTCACTCCCAAAAAGGCAGTCCTCTATACTTCTATTTATATCCCCCCTTTTCATTTCCCCTTTTGTCCCCTCTTTGAGAAGCTACTATAAAACTGTAGGTTTTCTTCTTACACCAAACTGCTTCCTGGCATTTTAGATGGCTCTCAGAGCAATCTCAACTTTGTCGGTGTCACATTACACCTCTAAATTACCAACTTTTAAAAATGCTAATTAGCTGGGCAACAATTGTGATGACAAGTGTGGCAACCACCTCTGCCTGTTATTAACAACGTTCGGTATTTTCTGTTGCAAATCGTACTTTCGATTTGGCAGTTATAATTCTGCCAAATGTTAACCCTTTTGGCTCAAACTCTCCGCAGCTGTTGACCGTGTCAGGCTGAGGGTCCCACATTCAGCCCAAATGGTCTCATCACCTCCAGGAATAACATGAGGGTTTTTGCAGCACCAGCAGGACCCAGGTGAGGGCTTCCACAAACTGTTCTCGGGTCCCCATACTTGGGAGCAAAGACCTGTCCTGTGGCCCGACTGATCTGTCAAGGATGGTGTTCCTTCAGAAAATCACCTGCTCTCGGCCAGGCTAAAAGCATTCAAACCACCCCAAAATGGCACACGCTTAGTAGAGCCTTGTTTGAGCACTGAAGGTAAAATCTCTGCTGATTCATGCTCCAAAATGTCCTAGCTGTGAGGGACCTCAGAGGTTGCATTTCTCTTCCTTCCCCAGCAATGGGCTCTTCTCATGTTTTTCTCTCAGGGAACAGACTTGATGTTGGACTTCCCCACTGCTGGCTGCTGTGGCATCCTTGGGTTGGGCACTTCATCCTCAGAGGGGACTGTCCGGGATGGGCAGTGGCCTGGGGAGAGTCCTCAGTGCCCAAGAGAAAATACATGAGGAGAGGCTGAGAGCAGTATCAGCAAGGACAGGGGACGGTGTTTGCCTGAGCAGGGAAATCTCAGGGAGCTGGAGAGCGGGGTAAGGCGAGGGAGGGGGTGGAGGGTGAGGGAGGCTGATGGGAGAAAAACTGGGAGCCGAGGGAGAAATGGGACCATGATGAAAACTGGAAGCCCTGACAGCAGGTGTGGGTATGGCTGGTGGGGGGGGGCAGCTGTGCTGAACTGAGTCTGGGAGAGTAAAGAGCCTTGGTGGGAGGGAGCCTGGGGCTGGGACATGACATCCCGTGGGACAGGAGACTGCAGGGGCAGAGGCTGGCCCTGGGGCTGAGGGTGGGATGGGGACCCTGGCAGCAATTAACTCACTGAGAGCTGGGAATGGGTCCATCACCTCTGTCCCTCTGCTGTCAGCAAAGACCTGGGAATCCTGCTGCCCCATGTCTTCACAGCACTCGTCCTTGCAGTCAAAAGAAATGCCTCTCCCACCCAGCTCTCACTTTGCTACCGCTGCTGGCATCTGCAGCTAAGACTCCTAACCTCAAATACATGTTACATGATGGAAGCTCCGGTTTTGTTTCTTTTAAAAAACAAACTGACTAAAAATGTCAT